GAAGACCTGGCCCCTGACCTCCACCAGACCAGACAGACGAAGACCTGGTCCCTGACCTCCACCAGACCAGACAGACGAAGACCTGGCCCCTGACCTCCAACAGACCTGACAGAGGAAGTCCTGGTCCCTGACCTCCACCAGACCAGACAGACGAAGACCTGGTCCCTGACCTCCACCAGACCAGACAGACGAAGACCTGGTCCCTGACCTCCACCAGACCAGACAGACGAAGACCTGGTCCCTGACCTCCAACAGACCTGACAGAGGAAGTCCTGGTCCCTGACCTCCACCAGACAGATGAAGACCTGGTCCCTGACCTCCACCAGACCAGACAGACGAAGACCTGGTCCCTGACCTCCACCAGACCAGACAGACGAAGACCTGGTCCCTGACCTCCACCAGACCAGACAGACGAAGACCTGGTCCCTGACCTCCAACAGACCTGACAGAGGAAGTCCTGGTCCCTGACCTCCACCAGACCAGACAGATGAAGACCTGGTCCCTGACCTCCACCAGACCTGACAGAGGAAGTCCTGGTCCCTGACCTCCACCAGACAGATGAAGACCTGGTCCCTGACCTCCACCAGACCAGACAGACGAAGACCTGGTCCCTGACCTCCACCAGACCAGACAGACGAAGACCTGGTCCCTGACCTCCACCAGACCAGACAGACGAAGACCTGGCCCCTGACCTCCAACAGACCTGACAGAGGAAGTCCTGGTCCCTGACCTCCACCAGACAGATGAAGACCTGGTCCCTGACCTCCACCAGACCAGACAGATGAAGACCTGGTCCCTGACCTCCACCAGACCAGACAGACGAAGACCTGGTCCCTGACCTCCACCAGACCAGACAGACGAAGACCTGGTCCCTGACCTCCACCAGACCAGACAGACGAAGACCTGGCCCCTGACCTCCAACAGACCTGACAGAGGAAGTCATGGTCCCTGACCTCCACCAGACCAGACAGACGAAGACCTGGTCCCTGACCTCCACCAGACCAGACAGACGAAGACCTGGCCCCTGACCTCCACCAGACCTGACAGAGGAAATCCTGGTCCCTGACCTCCACCAGAGAGATGAAGACCTGGTCCCTGACCTCCACCAGACCTGACAGAGGAAGTCCTGGTCCCTGACCTCCACCAGACAGATGAAGACCTGGTCCCTGACCTCCACCAGACCTGACAGAGGAAGTCCTGGTCCCTGACCTCCACCAGACCAGACAGAGGAAGTCCTGGTCCCTGACCTCCACCAGACCTGACAGAGGAAGTCCTGGTCCCTGACCTCCACCAGACAGATGAAGACCTGGTCCCTGACCTCCACCAGACCTGACAGAGGAAGTCCTGGTCCCTGACCTCCACCAGACCAGACAGACGAAGACCTGGTCCCTGACCTCCACCAGACAGAGGAAGTCCTGGTCCCTGACCTCCACCAGACCTGACAGAGGAAGTCCTGGTCCCTGACCTCCACCAGACCAGACAGACGAAGACCTGGTCCCTGACCTCCACCAGACCAGACAGAGGAAGTCCTGGTCCCTGACCTCCACCAGAGAGATGAAGACCTGGTCCCTGACCTCCACCCGACCAGACAGATGAAGACCTGGTCCCTGACCTCCACCAGACCAGACAGATGAAGACCTGGTCCCTGACCTCCACCAGACCAGACAGATGAAGACCTGGTCCCTGACCTCCACCAGACAGATGAAGACCTGGTCCCTGACCTCCACCAGACCAGACAGACGAAGACCTGGTCCCTGACCTCCACCAGACCAGACAGATGAAGACCTGGTCCCTGACCTCCACCAGACCAGACAGACGAAGACCTGGTCCCTGACCTCCACCAGACCAGACAGACGAAGACCTGGCACCTGACCTCCAACAGACCTGACAGAGGAAGTCCTGGTCCCTGACCTCCACCAGACCAGACAGACGAAGACCTGGCCCCTGACCTCCACCAGACCAGACAGACGAAGACCTGGTCCCTGACCTCCACCAGACCAGACAGAGGAAGTCCTGGTCCCTGACCTCCACCAGACCAGACAGATGAAGACCTGGTCCCTGACCTCCACCAGACCTGACAGAGGAAGTCCTGGTCCCTGACCTCCACCAGACCAGACAGACGAAGACCTGGTCCCTGACCTCCACCAGACAGAGGAAGTCCTGGTCCCTGACCTCCACCAGACCTGACAGAGGAAGTCCTGGTCCCTGACCTCCACCAGACCAGACAGACGAAGACCTGGTCCCTGACCTCCACCAGACCAGACAGAGGAAGTCCTGGTCCCTGACCTCCACCAGAGAGATGAAGACCTGGTCCCTGACCTCCACCCGACCAGACAGATGAAGACCTGGTCCCTGACCTCCACCAGACCAGACAGATGAAGACCTGGTCCCTGACCTCCACCAGACCAGACAGATGAAGACCTGGTCCCTGACCTCCACCAGACAGATGAAGACCTGGTCCCTGACCTCCACCAGACCAGACAGATGAAGACCTGGTCCCTGACCTCCACCAGACCAGACAGATGAAGACCTGGTCCCTGACCTCCACCAGACCAGACAGACGAAGACCTGGTCCCTGACCTCCACCAGACCAGACAGACGAAGACCTGGCACCTGACCTCCACCAGACCTGACAGAGGAAGTCCTGGTCCCTGACCTCCACCAGACAGATGAAGACCTGGTCCCTGACCTCCACCAGACCAGACAGAGGAAGTCCTGGTCCCTGACCTCCACCAGACCTGACAGAGGAAGTCCTGGTCCCTGACCTCCACCATACAGATGAAGACCTGGTCCCTGACCTCCACCAGACCTGACAGAGGAAGTCCTGGTCCCTGACCTCCACCAGACAGATGAAGACCTGGTCCCTGACCTCCACCAGACCTGACAGAGGAAGTCCTGGTCCCTGACCTCCACCAGACAGATGAAGACGTGGTCCCTGACCTCCACCAGACCTGACAGAGGAAGTCCTGGTCCCTGACCTCCACCAGACCAGACAGAGGAAGTCCTGGTCCCTGACCTCCACCAGACCTGACAGAGGAAGTCCTGGTCCCTGACCTCCACCAGACCTGACAGAGGAAGTCCTGGTCCCTGACCTCCACCAGGCAGATGAAGACCTGGTCCCTGACCTCCACCAGACCAGACAGACGAAGACCTGGTCCCTGACCTCCACCAGACAGAGGAAGTCCTGGTCCCTGACCTCCACCAGACAGATGAAGACCTGGTCCCTGACCTCCACCAGACCAGACAGACGAAGACCTGGTCCCTGACCTCCACCAGACCTGACAGAGGAAGTCCTGGTCCCTGACCTCCACCAGACCAGACAGACGAAGACCTGGTCCCTGACCTCCACCAGACCAGACAGACGAAGACCTGGCCCCTGACCTCCACCAGACCTGACAGAGGAAGTCCTGGTCCCTGACCTCCACCGGACAGATGAAGACCTGGTCCCTGACCTCCACCAGACCAGACAGACGAAGACCTGGTCCCTGACCTCCACCAGACCAGACAGACGAAGACCTGGTCCCTGACCTCCAACAGACCTGACAGAGGAAGTCCTGGTCCCTGACCTCCACCAGACCAGACAGATGAAGACCTGGTCCCTGACCTCCACCAGACCTGACAGAGGAAGTCCTGGTCCCTGACCTCCACCAGACAGATGAAGACCTGGTCCCTGACCTCCACCAGACCTGACAGAGGAAGTCCTGGTCCCTGACCTCCACCAGACCAGACAGACGAAGACCTGGTCCCTGACCTCCACCAGACCAGACAGAGGAAGTCCTGGTCCCTGACCTCCACCAGACCAGACAGAGGAAGTCCTGGTCCCTGACCTCCACCAGACCAGACAGATGAAGACCTGGTCCCTGACCTCCACCAGACCAGACAGATGAAGACCTGGTCCCTGACCTCCACCAGACCAGACAGATGAAGAACTGGTCCCTGACCTCCACCAGACAGATGAAGACCTGGTCCCTGACCTCCACCAGACCTGACAGAGGAAGTCCTGGTCCCTGACCTCCACCAGACCAGACAGATGAAGACCTGGTCCCTGACCTCCACCAGACCAGACAGATGAAGACCTGGTCCCTGACCTCCACCAGACCAGACAGATGAAGACCTGGTCCCTGACCTCCACCAGACCAGACAGATGAAGACCTGGTCCCTGACCTCCACCAGACCTGACAGATGAAGACCTGGTCCCTGACCTCCACCAGACCAGACAGATGAAGACCTGGTCCCTGACCTCCACCAGACCTGACAGAGGAAGTCCTGGTCCCTGACCTCCACCAGACCAGACAGACGAAGACCTGGTCCCTGACCTCCACCAGACCAGACAGAGGAAGTCCTGGTCCCTGACCTCCACCAGACAGATGAAGACCTGGTCCCTGACCTCCACCAGACCAGACAGATGAAGACCTGGTCCCTGACCTCCACCAGACCAGACAGATGAAGACCTGGTCCCTGACCTCCACCAGACAGACGAAGACCTGGTCCCTGACCTCCACCAGACAGACGAAGACGTGGTCCCTGACCTCCACCAGACAGACGAAGACCTGGTCCCTGACCTCCACCAGACAGACGAAGACGTGGTCCCTGACCTCCACCAGACAGACGAAGTCCTGGTCCCTGACCTCAACCAGACCAGACAGAGGAAGTCCTGGTCCCTGACCTCCTCCAGACCAGACGGACGAGGACCTGGTCCCTGACCTCCACCAGACGGACCTCCACCAGACGGACGGACGAGCCGAGGCAGATTTGTGTCCCACAGATAGAAAAGTTGGATCTACATGAATCAGATCTGATAAAGGAGTCTTTGGTCATTTCTAAACAGACCTGGGCTGTTTTTATCTTCTCCAACTGGTTTATACATTCGTTTTTATTCGTATGTTGATGTTGACGTCACTCCTCCCACGTGCACGCGACTGCTTTCCACCCAAGCACGCTCCCAACATCAGCTGTTGTTTGATTGGGCAACAGGAACCCGCCCAGGCCACACAATCGTGCGCATGCGCAGCAGTAGAAGAAGTCTTGTGAAAGTTTGGTAAAGTGTGTGTGGCGGTTCGGACACGGTTCTGCTGCCGGTTCCGGAAGCTTCAGTGTCAGAGAATCCGTCAGGAGAAGGCACCGGGACCTCGCTGCGACCACAGCCGCCTTCAGGAGCTCCACAGCCGGTATGAAGATCGAGTTCGCCCCGCTGAACATCCCGATGCGGAGGAGGCTGCAGACGGCCGCGGTGCTGCAGTGGGTCTTCTCCTTCCTGGCTCTGGGTGAGCTCACCTGCTGCTGCAAACACAGCCTGCGGTTGACACTCAGCATTACGGGGTTGAGTTGGGGGTTCAAGCACCAAGGCGTCCCTGTTGCGGCTGCGCGCGCAGCTCAGGGCTGCAGACAGGTTAAAGTCCTGACCCAGGTCGTTCTTCCACACATTTGGACAGAGGAGAACTAGGGACCCCAGCCCTCCGTTCCTAGGACCATGCTAGCTCCGACTGTCTTTTCTTCCTATGATGTAGGTGTTTGGTGAACTCAAGCCACGCCCCTTAACCTTAGAAGCTCTCTACTGATTTCCCGGTGACTCCAGCATTCCCACAAAGCTTAAAGTCGGGTAATGAGGTGTTTATTCTGCATGTAGACAGTCAGCAAGACGAGATGTTGTGTCCAGATGTTCGCCTCTCCAGGGCCGGACACAGGCGTGTGGTGACCACTGGTCATCTGTCTCTATCGGGGCCCCCGACCGCTGTGCCAGTGCCACCTGAAAGGTTCCCCTGGGGAGGGTGGTTAGGAGCCGGTCTGTTAAACGTTCTGGAACCTGAAGTTCTTCCAGCTGGTGAAGCATTTCTAGAGCTGATCATCTCAGACCCACAAGCTCCTGTCCTGCTGGACGCTGCCAACACTCTGGTCTGGACTCAGTTCCTCACGCAGGGAGGTCCAAGTTGAGGTTCCATCAGACCGGATAGGGCCGTAGACGTGTTTGTAGTTTACTGCAACCTAAAATGTAACATTTCAGCCCAAACCCGTGTTTATAGCTCCATCTTCAGGATGCACAGACCACTGGTCATCCCTAACCCACTTCTCCAGACGGGGAGCCTTCAGCTCGGGGCGTGCCTGACGCATGTACGTCAGATGCAACGAGCGTTGGAGCTTGCAGCGTTTATGCTTCTGTAGCTTGTCTCTGCTGTGAGTCAATATTCTCCCAGACTGTAGGGGGCGGCATGGGGCTCTACGCCATGCATCCCACACCACACTACAGAAGTAGAAACCAGTCGTTTACAACATTGTTTCACTCTTTTCCGACTGTGACAGCAATTATTAAAAGAAAGAAAACGATCTTTTAAATGGCGCCTCCACTTAAAAATCACGAAAACAAAACAAAGAAAGTGGAAAAAGATCTTTAAAAATGAGCGAAAATGTTCAAAATGAGAAAAAAATAAACATTGTGAATTTTAAATAAAGGAAGGGAAATGAGAATTTATAGGAAAGAGTGAATCTCGGGAAAGGAGGAATAAAAGCAGAACCAGGAGAGGGTGATGATGAAGGTGCCACCAAAGCCTGAACAGGTGAGTTTAAAGGAGACCACTGAGTCCACTGATCTCAGGCTCAGGGGGAGTGAGGTCCAGAGTCTGGGGGCCACAGCAGCAGATGATCTGTCACCTTTGGTCTAGCCCTAACACTGGACCTCAGGGACCTGCTGGGGGTGTAGGGACTAAGAAGATCACCAATGTAAGATGGTGCTTGTCCATGTAAGGCCCTATAGACCAGAACCAGGATCTTGAAATGAACCCTGAAGTTGACTGGCAGCCAGTGAAGCTGGAGGAGAAGCGGGGTGATGTGGGTGTGTTTGGAGGACTTGGTCAGAAGCCGAGCACAGGCGTTCTGAACCACCTGTAGACGGTTCAGGGAGGTTCTGCTCAGACACGTGAAAAGAGAGTTACAGTAGTCTAAGCGTGAGGAGATGAAGGTGTGGAGAACAGCAGGACCAGAACAGAACAGTCCCCCTGCATCACTGTGGGTCAGAAGGTCGTTAGACCCTAAGAAGAGCTGTTTCAGTGGAATGTCCTCCAGGATGTCAGAAGATCCTTTAGGTGCAGCAGATGGACGTGGAGATGGGTTTTCTTCCACAAACGCTCAATTTTTCTGCATTGGCGCTTCAGGCTGCGAAGGCTGTCATTAAACCAGGGAGTAGGGTTCACTGCAGGACCTGATCTGGTTCTGACAGGACAGATGTTGTCCAGAATGGAGAGGCAGTGCTCGTTAAACTGAGAAGTTAAGGAATCTGGGTCGTTATCAGAAGAACAGGGTGGATCAAAAGCAGCAGAACTAACCATACGGCGAGCAGGAGGTGGGGACGCAGAAACTGACAAGTTAAAGAAAATGCAATGGTGATCTGAAATATAAACGTCCTCAGGTCAAACTTCTATTAACAATATTTTGATCACAGTGATCTTTATGGGCTGAATCATAAAGATGTGTATACTTACGAACCCCTGCCACTACGAGCGCTTGCCAGTCCGTCGTGTTTTGTCACGCAGGATTGTCTGCGTGGTTAGAAAATGTCCTAGGTGCGGAAACTTTGGGCCTTGTGGAGGAGCGTGGTTGCTAAAATGACGTCATTTGGCCACGCGTAACCGTGTGGACCTTGCGGACGCGGCAAGTATAAACCAAGCTTCCAAGCCCCACCCATCTACTTCCGGACCATGGGTCTCTGGAAGAATGAACACATGAATGTTTGTGAGTTTTACAGACACGTTCCGATACCAAGAAAGTGCTTACTTATTAACGGGGGTAAAAGTTGTTCTAGGATTTGTGTGAAAATAAGTCCAGGACTACAAATGTGCATCACTAAAGTGATGTCATCGAACCAGACATGGAGAAGAGCAGAGGGACGATGGCTGCAAGCCCTCCCCTCAGGAGGAAAGAACCACCATAAATCTGGCCATGTGGTGGGGGAGGAGATTCTGCGGTGTAGTCGTGACGGGTGTGGTCGAAACACATCATCAGTTTTCTTTTACATTGAATTACAACGTGTGTGTGATCCCGGGTGTAGGGCAAGGCGGATTAGCTCTTTTAGTCCCATTCAGGGACCCATGAGCCGACCGGACAGGGGAGGAGCCTTAGGGTGGCTATGCCAGATGCATGATGGTAAAAGGCCTGCATTTTTAACACCTTCTTAGAGTTTTCTAACCCCCCCCACGGCGCATGACAACATCATCAGTCATTCACCCATTCACACACACATTCTCCCTCCTGGGGTGGGGGGTGCTGTCTATCAGTGCCGTTCTCGGCCCGCCAGGCGATGCCTCCTTTAGGCGTATTTTTCTAACAGGAAGTGTGACTGGAGTAAGACTCCACCCAGGGTGTGACTCACCCTTTAACCTGTTTTACAAATAGTAAAAAAGCATCATTGCCTCCACAGCTCAGGTAACGCCTCACCTGTCTCACTCCAGCTCCTCCCACATCTCAAACTCCTCCCCATTCAGTCTCCCACAACCTCCCAAATCTCATTCACTCCCACCCCCACCTGCCTTCCACTGACTCCTCCCTCACATATATCTCTCTGAGACCTCCTCCCACATCTCTGACTCCTCCCCCACCTCTCCCAGCCCAGTGCTGTCTGGCTGCCTTTGTCCTCGTGGCTCTATCTGATTGGTGGATCGTGGCTCTGCTCTATGCTGGTTGGCTGTGGCTGGATTGGGACACACCAACCACCGGGGGTCGGAGGTCACACTTGGTCAGGAACTGGACTGTGTGGGAGTACTTCAGGGACTACTTCCCCCTGACGGTGAGTTCAGGTGTTCTGATCTGATCCAGCTGTTCTAATTGGTTCTGATCCATCTGATTGGTTTCTTCAGCTCATCAAAACTGTTGATCTGGATCCAAAGAAGAACTACATCTTTGGGTTCCACCCTCATGGTGAGACACTCCCCTTACCTGTCTGACTCCCAGGTGTTAACTGTTACCTGTCCTCCAGGTGTTCTGGTCTATAACTGTTACCTGTCCTCCTGTTTCTGGTCTATAACTGTTACCTGTCCTCCAGGTGTTCTGGTCTCTGTTACCTGTCCTCCAGGTGTTCTGGTCTATAACTGTTACCTGTCCTCCAGGTGTTCTGGTCTATAACTGTTACCTGTCCTCCTGTTTCTGGTCTATAACTGTTACCTGTCCTCCAGGTGTTCTGGTCTCTGTTACCTGTCCTCCAGGTGTTCTGGTCTATAACTGTTACCTGTCCTCCAGGTGTTCCGGTCTATAACTGTTACCTGTCCTCCAGGTGTTCTGGTCTATAACTGTTACCTGTTCTCCTGTTTCTGGTCTATAACTGTTACCTGTCCTCCAGGTGTTCTGGTCTATAACTGTTACCTGTCCTCCAGGTGTTCTGGTCTATAACTGTTACCTGTCCTCCAGGTGTTCTGGTCTATAACTGTTACCTGTCCTCCAGGTGTTCTGGTCTATAACTGTTACCTGTCCTCCAGGTGTTCTGGTCTATAACTGTTACCTGTTCTCCTGTTTCCAGTCTATAACTGTTACCTGTCCTCCAGGTGTTCTGGTCTATAACTGTTACCTGTCCTCCAGGTGTTCTGGTCTCTGTTACCTGTTCTCCAGGTGTTCTGGTCTATAACTGTTACCTGTCCTCCAGGTGTTCTGGTCTATAACTGTTACCTGTTCTCCTGTTTCTGGTCTATAACTGTTACCTGTCCTCCAGGTGTTCTGGTCTATAACTGTTACCTGTCCTCCAGGTGTTCTGGTCTATAACTGTTACCTGTCCTCCAGGTGTTCTGGTCTCTGTTACCTGTCCTCCAGGTGTTCTGATCTATAACTGTTACCTGTTCTCCTGTTTCCGGTCTATAACTGTTACCTGTCCTCCAGGTGTTCTGGTCTATAACTGTTACCTGTTCTCCTGTTTCCGGTCTATAACTGTTACCTGTCCTCCAGGTGTTCTGGTCTATAACTGTTACCTGTCCTCCAGGTGTTCTGGTCTATAACTGTTACCTTTTCTCCAGGTGTTCTGGTCTATAACTGTTACCTGTCCTCCAGGTGTTCTGGTCTATAACTGTTACCTGTTCTCCTGTTTCTGGTCTATAACTGTTACCTGTCCTCCAGGTGTTCTGGTCTATAACTGTTACCTGTCCTCCAGGTGTTCTGGTCTATAACTGTTACCTGTCCTCCAGGTGTTCTGGTCTATAACTGTTACCTGTCCTCCAGGTGTTCTGGTCTATAACTCTTACCTGTCCTCCAGGTGTTCTGGTCTATAACTGTTACCTGTCCTCCAGGTGTTCTGGTCTATAACTGTTACCTGTTCTCCTGTTTCCGGTCTATAACTGTTACCTGTCCTCCAGGTGTTCTGGTCTATAACTGTTACCTGTTCTCCAGGTGTTCTGGTCTATAACTGTTACCTGTCCTCCAGGTGTTCTGGTCTATAACTGTTACCTGTCCTCCAGGTGTTCTGGTCTATAACTGTTACCTGTCCTCCAGGTGTTCTGGTCTATAACTGTTACCTGTCCTCCAGGTGTTCTGGTCTATAACTGTTACCTGTCCTCCAGGTGTTCTGGTCTATAACTGTTACCTGTCCTCCAGGTGTTCTGGTCTATAACTGTTACCTGTCCTCCAGTTTCTTGTCTATAACTGTTACCTGTCCTCCAGGTGTTCTGGTCTATAACTGTTACCTGTCCTCCAGGTGTTCTGGTCTATAACTGTTACCTGTCCTCCAGGTGTTCTGGTCTATAACTGTTACCTGTCCTCCAGGTGTTCTGGTCTATAACTGTTACCTGTCCTCCAGGTGTTCTGGTCTATAACTGTTACCTGTCCTCCAGGTGTTCTGGTCTATAACTGTTACCTGTCCTCCAGGTGTTCTGGTCTATAACTGTTACCTGTTCTCCTGTTTCCGGTCTATAACTGTTACCTGTCCTCCAGGTTTTCTGGTCTATAACTGTTACCTGTTCTCCAGGTGTTCTGGTCTATAACTGTTACCTGTCCTCCAGGTGTTCTGGTCTATAACTGTTACCTGTTCTCCTGTTTCTGGTCTATAACTGTTACCTGTCCTCCAGGTGTTCTGGTCTATAACTGTTACCTGTCCTCCAGGTGTTCTGGTCTATAACTGTTACCTGTCCTCCAGGTGTTCTGGTCTATAACTGTTACCTGTTCTCCTGTTTCCGGTCTATAACTGTTACCTGTCCTCCAGGTGTTCTGGTCTATAACTGTTACCTGTCCTCCAGGTGTTCTGGTCTATAACTGTTACCTGTCCTCCAGGTGTTCTGGTCTATAACTGTTACCTGTTCTCCTGTTTCTGGTCTATAACTGTTACCTGTCCTCCAGGTGTTCCGGTCTATAACTGTTACCTGTTCTCCTGTTTCTGGTCTATAACTGTTACCTGTCCTCCAGGTGTTCTGGTCTATAACTGTTACCTGTCCTCCAGGTGTTCTGGTCTATAACTGTTACCTGTCCTCCAGGTGTTCTGGTCTATAACTGTTACCTGTCCTCCAGGTGTTCTGGTCTATAACTGTTACCTGTCCTCCAGGTGTTCTGGTCTATAACTGTTACCTGTTCTCCTGTTTCTGGTCTATAACTGTTACCTGTCCTCCAGGTGTTCTGGTCTATAACTGTTACCTGTCCTCCAGGTGTTCTGGTCTATAACTGTTACCTGTTCTCCTGTTTCTGGTCTATAACTGTTACCTGTCCTCCAGGTGTTCTGGTCTATAACTGTTACCTGTCCTCCAGGTGTTCTGGTCTATAACTGTTACCTGTCCTCCAGGTGTTCTGGTCTATAACTGTTACCTGTCCTCCAGGTGTTCTGGTCTATAACTGTTACCTGTTCTCCTGTTTCCGGTCTATAACTGTTACCTGTCCTCCAGGTGTTCTGGTCTATAACTGTTACCTGTTCTCCTGTTCCCGGTCTATAACTGTTACCTGTCCTCCAGGTGTTCTGGTCTATAACTGTTACCTGTTCTCCTGTTTCTGGTCTATAACTGTTACCTGTCCTCCAGGTGTTCTGGTCTATAACTGTTACCTGTTCTCCTGTTTCCGGTCTATAACTGTTACCTGTCCTCCAGGTGTTCTGGTCTATAACTGTTACCTGTTCTCCAGGTGTTCTGGTCTATAACTGTTACCTGTCCTCCAGGTGTTCTGGTCTATAACTGTTACCTGTTCTCCTGTTTCTGGTCTATAACTGTTACCTGTCCTCCAGGTGTTCTGGTCTATAACTGTTACCTGTCCTCCAGGTGTTCTGGTCTATAACTGTTACCTGTCCTCCAGGTGTTCTGGTCTATAACTGTTACCTGTCCTCCAGGTGTTCTGGTCTATAACTGTTACCTGTTCTCCTGTTTCCGATCTATAACTGTTACCTGTCCTCCAGGTGTTCTGGTCTATAACTGTTACCTGTCCTCCAGGTGTTCTGGTCTATAACTGTTACCTGTTCTCCTGTTTCCGGTCTATAACTGTTACCTGTCCTCCAGGTGTTCCGGTCTATAACTGTTACCTGTCCTCCAGGTGTTCTGGTCTATGTTACCTGTCCTCCAGGT